TGGGGGTCTGGACAAGCCATGCTGTGTGTGTCTGTTGATGCAGACAGCCTTGGCTTGCTATGGGGGAACACGCAGAAGTGAAGGAGTGCAGAGCTCTGGCAGGGGACTCCAGAAGAGCAAGTATGGGATTGCTCTGTGCAATACCCTCTTTTTTTTTAAGCAAAACATTTTTTGAGTTTATTATCACTTTAAATGACTTGAATACATTATTCTTCTGCTTACCTCCACAGTACTTCTATTCCAACTTTCACATGATTGATAGGTTGTCAGATGTCTGCCATTTGTTCTCTAGACTATGGACAACCAGCTAGGTAATGTTTGAATTCCTACGATATACTAAATATTTACTTCTGCTATCGGCATAAAAATAGGCCATAGTGAGGGTGCGTATGTAGTATCATTAGATTGGGAGTTTCCATGGGGCAAAGGGAGTGATGTGAGTGGCTACATAGAACTGTGTAAAATAAATACAGAAAATAATTTGCTGTGGCTAAACCTCTTTGAAGATAGTATGGTACCAAAAAATAGTATGGCTGCAATTGCTTGGAGGAAAGGCTGATTTCCAATAATTGCACATCATTGCTCTATGCAATATATTTGGTACATAAAATCCAGAAGTGAAGTGAAGTCGTTTAAAGATTTAAAGGGACAGTCTTAATAAAATGGATATTTCAGTTTGGTACATTTTAAGGGATTATGTAAACTAATGGTTTATCTTTGTTATCAAGGAAGAAATAAAAAAAAAAAAAGTGACACGAATAAAAAACAGTAGAAGTGTCTTATACAATCAGGCACAGGACAATGCTACATTTATTCAGTATCTGTGGAGAAACTGTGTTAGGGCTCATGTACACTGCAGCTGCTAAACTGAAGTTTAGGATCAGTTGTACATTTTTTTCAGCAGCTCCTGAACTCTCCTTTATGTTTTCCTTAGTGTCCATGTACACATAGTCATTTACAGTAGTTTACAGGCAGTTGAGGTTACTGGCATTTTTTTCAAAGCACAAAAATCACAGTCAGGAGTAGAGTTTACCATTGTTTCCAACACCGTGTGTAAACGCGTTAATGCGCGTTTGCATTTAGACACATTTTGGGCTGGTCCATATCCAGATGCTGTTCAGTGCTTTTTTTCTTCATCAGAAATGCATGCACAGCATTTTCCATGTATTCAATTGACCTAGTACACCAGTGCAATCAGTTCCAGGTGTAGGAAAAAATGTTGCATTATTTCTGTACAGAACTGTACTGGAACACATCAAAAAAAGGAATGCATCCGGAGGCATTATAGCACTATGTAGCTCCTTCCACAGTGCCAAGTATGTTTCACGAGCCACTTTTGCTACAGTTGCAGCACCCATCAGGAAGTAGTGTTCTCTGCTTTTGCTCTCTCTGTCTGAAATAGTTAATTAGTTACTAATTTTCAGTGCATTCTGGGCATTTGGGAGGGTCTCCTGAGGTTATCTTTTAAAAACGCTTCTAAACGCAAACGCAAATAAACGCGGCTAAACACGGTAGGTAAACACGGCCAAACTGACATTTTTAACCTATGTTTTCTGGCAGTTTCCAGCATTCAGAAAAGATTTTCAAACACCCTGTGTACATGAGCCCTTAGGAGAGCAGGAAAGATTAAAATAAAAAGCAGAAGCCTGTAGTTAAGGGGAAAAAGGGAGAAACTTAAAACAAGACACCCTGCCATTTTTAGAAGCAATGTTAAAAAACACTGTCTAATTGATTCCTTGGAGCTGGCTGTTGGATTCAAGCCTACAGGATTCCTGAGTTATAATATCAGCACTTAATCATATGAAAGCCTACAAATGTGAGAGTACTCTGGGGAGCTAATGAATATCCTCCATTAAAACACTGTCCTTTAAAATTCATAAGTGATCTCTCAAATTAGACATTATAATGTTCCATTGCCATGATATTGTTCACTCTGGAGTGCTATTTCTTAATAGTGTACTTGTAAAGATTTGGGATACAAGCCTGAGCTGCAGTTATTAAGTGATTCAAAAGAATGTAATTTTTGGGGCAAATTGTTTTTTTTTTTAAATCAAGTGAGCAAAGAGGTCTGATAACACAACATGACATCTCCCCCACATCCACCTCACAGGAAGAACCGACAAAAATGAGATATAATTGACAGCAAAGAGTAGAACTCATACCACATTGATGTAGTTGCATATCTGGACATTGCAGTAATTTTATCTAAATAAGTTCCCTTAGATTGGGTGTGTCCCGCCATAGTGCCCAGGTTCTCAAATTTGCCCAGGCAGCCTTTGTGTTAATATATGTAATGGTCTCGAAGGAGAGCATCCCCAATATGAGTCACTCAGGTCTTAAGGGAAGGTGGATCTCAGGATTTCCACAACATTAAAATTAGTTTTATGCCAGGATAACGGTGGTACTACAATGGGTTCACTCTGAAGTAATTTCTGTTAATATATGGAAAAATTTGATTAACCGAGTACTGCCACTCTACAAGCTGACCTATGAGGCCAGGGGATATCCTCAAAAAGTTTACCAAACATGGGGCCCATGGACAGAGCTATTTGATACTTGTGTGGAGCCAGATACGTAATTAACTTTCCTTTTCCTAAGAACTACTTAGATATTGGTGTGGTGCTATATGCAGAGGACTCAATTTTTCCTTTTTATGCTACTTATTGGGTAGTGGCTCAAATTTCTTCTATACTGGAAACATAATTCTGTACTTTTCTGTTACCCCACTTTTATTTGAACCTGGGAGATTTGCCTTTTGGACCAATGGTTGTAGGTGTAGGTTGGGTTTCTGTTTTCTTTCCTTTTTTCTTTTCTTTTCAGGCTCATTATATTATAGATAATATGTAATGTCATATACAGTGTTGTTTCTCAAGCATTGTGGGAGATGTTTAAGTTCATACTGTTTGTAGTCAGAATCCTCCTGAGAAAGGTAAAGGAAATTTTGTTGGCTTGTTTACTTTCGGTCTATAGTCTGTGACAAACGCTGTATTGTATTTGTTGTATATGCTCAATAAAACTCAGTTTAAAAACCAAAAAGATAGTTTACAAGCCTGGAATAGGGCTCGAGTACTCTTGCCATCTCCACCAGAATCGCCTCATCGAGCACACCTAACAAGCAGCATTTTGTGTCAAGTGGCATATTGGTCTGAAAAACACCATTAAGAGTGGACAAAATACCTGTCCACTGCTGGTGCAACTTAGGGCAGCGCCAAAGGAAATGGATAAGATCCCCATTCACCCTTCTACATGTATTACAGATTGGGTCCACAAGCTTACCCAGCTTACACAAGCGGGGTGTAATGTGCTCTCAAGAATATATATAGTTGTGGCAATTTCTGAGAACATTCAAGAAGCTTATGGTCACCGATGGAATGCCTCCTCCCATTGATCCCCTGTCAAGATGCCTATATTCACCTCTGATTGAATGGTCACCCTGATAAGGTGATCATTAAGAAAACCAGTTAGCAATATATTATAACACCGTTAGTACCATTAGCAGACTGAATCAAATTGAAAATAGGGGTAGGTGCCTTGACTATTGTAACTCCCTCCTCATTGGCCTGCCTAATCGCAGGCTATCCTCTCTTCAGTCTATCATGAATGCTGCTGCCAGACTCATCCACCTTACTAACCATTCTGTATCAGCCACCCCTCTCTGCCAATCCCTCCACTGGCTTCCCTTTGCCCAATGGATAAAATTCAAAACATTAACAAGAACGTATAAAGCCATTTATGACTCTGCCCCAAATTACATCACTGATCTTGTCTCTAAATATCACCCAAACCATACTCTCCGCTCCTCGCGCAACCTCCTGCTCTCTAGCTCCCTTATCTCCTCCTCCCATGCTTGTCTCCAGGACTTCTCCAGAGCTTCCCCCATCCTCTGGAACTCTCTACCCCAATCTATCAGACTACTCTGCTTACTTTAAGCGATCTTTGAAAACCGATCTCTTCAGGGAAGCCTATCTTGCCTTCAGCTAATAATGGAACCTTCTACTCTTCCAACCAGTCCATCCCCCATAGTTACTACCTTTTGTACCACTAGCCCCTCCCTCCTAGATTGTAAGCTCCAAGGAGCAGGGCCCTCCTGTCACTCTTGTATTGAACTGTATTGTTGCTGTATTGTCTCCCGTTATATTGTAAAGCACTGAGCAAACTGTTGGCGCTATATAAATCCTATATAATAATAATGATAACCCAGTTACCCATATTTCCTAGGGCAAATTGTTTAATTAAAGGCAATAGAAAGAATTCCCTTAAAAGGGTTTAATGGTTTCTTCTGTCTGAGACTATCAGTGCGCGCTTTATGGTTGTATACTTTGGTTTATACACCTGCTGACGCAATAAAGGACACATTTTTTTTGTAGCAGGATTAACTCCAATGTGGGTGGAGTCAGAACTTTGGCAGGGAAGATAATTCTTGCAATAAAGCCACCACAAAATGAAAGAAGCCAGTGGCTGACTCAGGCCATTAAACTCTTTCTACTACTGAAATATAATTTTTGGGTCTACTGATCCTATAATATAAAGTGTACAGTACCTATAATAAATACATTAGAACCTGACTAAGTCATTAATATAATAGCTGATTATTTACAAATTTTGGAAGTGTAGCCCAGAGTATAGCCATGCCCCAGCTTGGTTGGCTTTTTGGGTTGGTGGGGCTGCACAGTGGATGAAGACAGTATCCCACTTTACATTGATAGCAAAGCTTGGTAGTTCTTGACTTTGCTTAGAATATGAGAGGTAGAGCTGCAACCACTGAGGTGCCTGTATCTTCTGCTGTGTAGAACGGGAGGGAATATAGGTAACGTTCAGGTGGGCATTTTTGTGTACTGAATATGGCCCAATGTGCTTATGTGCAAGGTAAGGCTCTGTGTGCATTAAGTGCTGAACAGATATGTTCACATTCCCTAAAGATTGCTTAATTTTGTATACTTTATTATCCCTTATAAGTTCAGTAATTAAGCTCATGCCAGAACATTCAAAACTTCTCATACCTGAATAGCTCCCAGATTTTCTACGAGTTGTTCTGGATTGGAAGAACCTAACAGGACAGAACTGACTCCTTCATTCCGCAGGCACCAAGCTGCAAAGCACAGACAGCACATTTTCAGTTGTAGTCATGAATTAATATAACAATAGATCTATATGGTAATATTTATAAGCAGATGGAAATTACATATGAAAGTATTAAATACATATGTTTTTGGTTTTGTGTCATCATTTTGTAAGGAGTGAATACCATATGGACTGCGCATAAATGGTGCAAAATAAATATATATGAAAAACTCTGTAGCAATGAGCAAAAAGCAATATTAATAACAGTAATTTTTCAGTCCCAGTAAGTGAAAATAAGGTGCAAGGTGCTGTAAATCTTGATTGTGAACTCCTTGTACAATACACTCACAAAAGAAGTGCCCATAACCTGGCAACTGGTGTATTCAGCCTTGTTGCTTGTAAGGTGAAAAAATGGCCATCGCTATGGTCGTAACCCCGAGCTACACTCAGGAATACCTTGCAGCGCTGCTCTGGAATCTCTTCTTCACTTACCTTGTCCTTCGCTCCCACGATGTCCCTCCTGCAGTGTCCCCAGCAATGTCCTCCAGTCAGGATGCCAGCTTCTGGGTTCCGTTCCCTGTGATGTCGGGACGTACGGGGGACGTAAACGGCGGGAAATTTGAAAGTTGTAAAAGTGACATTCACTAAATTCACTGAAATCACATAGTATAACATCACTGTATAAAACTGTTTCACATACATTTTGTCCTGACTGCTTTGTCCTGTGCCCTGCCTGCATTTTTACTGTTCTTTCTGCCTGGAAACTGAGAAATGTCCATGGCGTTCAAAAGCATCCCTTTAGGTCAAAAGCAGTTTTAGACCAGCTAGAGAACAGCGATAGTAAATCAGAACCACTTGCAGAATTGAGTGATAATGATTCGTGGGGAAATTTGTCATCAGACACTGAAAACGATTCTGCGACTTTGCTCAGTGATCTGCGAACTTGGCGCTATATTTCAAATTTCAGTGTTTTTGGTTGGATTATATTATTTAATTCAATTTATTTTTATATTATATTATTATTTTTTATGATTATGTATTAAATTATAATTTATGATTTCGTATTTAACATACCCAGGATGTTTACTAGACTCTTGTTCGGACAGATTTCAGTGAGTTATTCCTAAAAATTACAGGCCTACAATAAAAAAAATACATATTTCCATGCAAAAAAATGTACCGCTTTGAGCACAGAAATATTGACATAATCAGACCGCTAGGGAGGCTACAGTAAAAGCAGTTTTCCACTATGGGATGTCTATTTTTGTTTTTTTTATACATGCTGATTACTTGCTTATTTTGCCTGTGGAGGAGAGGAGTTGGTATTGATACAGAACTTTTGGAGGAGCAACCGGTTACCATTAGCAACACTGCATACTGGAATAGTCCCAAAAGCGCAAATGACCATCCTAGAGATAGGTGGTCACGGGATGATGGTGAGTGTTAGTCCATGTGGGGCACCAGTCTGAGCACAGTGGAGCACCTGTTGTATTGTACAAGGTGTTCACAATCAAGATTTACAACACCTTGCACCTTATTGGACTTTAGAACCACTTTAATTTAATGTTTGACCACATATCATCTTACCTACTGCAAGCTGTGGCAAAGTGCACCCAAGACGCTCTGCTATTGGTACCAAGTCTTTCAGCTTGGACTGTTGTTTCCGACCCTCCTCACTCAGTATTTTGTCCTTCAACCATTGGTAGCACTGGTAGATATAACAGAAATAAAAATCAAAATATGATGGAAGGAATGTAGAAAAAAATTACATAACTAATAGGAATGGGTAAACTCATTTTGCCAGGTTCAGAGCACATTTGGATATGGCCAGATTACATAAAGTTGGTATGTACAAACATTGGGCAATCTATTAAACACAGTTTTCTGTTATTTTAAATGTTTTTTTCACTTTTAATAAAAAAAAATATGCCCATTGCATTAAAATAGCTGCACTGCACTAAGTATAGATGCTTGCATTCCTCAGGAAGAGGGTTTTGTGGTTTCCAGCTGTGCTAATGCCAGCCTGTATTGTAACAAGGACTTGTTACCATTGTTTCTACCTGAATGTTGTCATCAACCAGTTGGAGCACTGAAAAAATCCCAGCTTCACTCAGTCCTGTTTTATAACCCAGTTTATTTAGTTCTTTTTCATTATAAGCCCAATAAGTGGAGAATGCTGCTATTTGTTTATGTAAATTTTTCCTGACTGGGAATAGGTAAATTGCAGATATGCCCATTACCCCAAGATTCCCATACCTCTTGGAACACCATAGCTGCAAAACAACCTGGTGAACCTTCAGTATTGGGCTAGTGTTTGGAGATAGGGGCCTGCTTTTTTTTCGGCCTCTTCTTTTTGAAACTCCAAAAGGGGGTCCATGTGCCAAGCCTAGTGATTATGCTGCTTTCAGAGTGGTAAATGAAATAAACAAAAATGACTACAGTTTTAATAGTGAGAAAACCAGCATTTTAATTAGGCACACTTTTCAGCAGGTCTTATATTAAACAGCTGTACCATTTCAAAATGTACCTTAGAGAGTGCCCAATGATAGTAAGGTCATTTGTCTTACAGAGAACACTTGTTTTCATCGGACATCTAAAATTCATGTGTTCCCAGCTGATTCTCTGCTTACAAATTACATATGGACAGGAAGATTCATCGAGAATGTTAAATTAACATTTTGCTTTATGAGGATACATAAAAATGTCTGTAGACATTTGCTCCATTTTCCACAGCTGCTATTATGTACTGCATGGTAATTGAACTAATGTTATGATCACAGATTAATGGGTGCTTTTCTTCATTTAGAAGAACTTTGAAAACATTTTCCAAGGATTCAAAGTAACCCAATTCTATAGCAAAGTTTTACATACTTGACTGGACATAGGAAGTACTTTGTTAAATTGTGTGTAAACCCTAACACCAAACTTCTCTTATTTGCTTCCGTTTGGTCTGTTAAATATACCGTTAAAGAATTTGTTACCTGATCACATGTCAGAAATTCAGGGCTTTCCTTTGTCTTTTGTACACTTCCTATGTTATCCCAAGGCATATAGTTAGCCTTTCCATTTCTTATCTTGGACTTAAGAATAATTAGGGTCTACTGCAAGGGTGCTCAACCCATGGCCCGCAGGCTACATGTGGCCCTCCAAGCCCTCTAATGTGGCCCTTGACCACAAACCAGGGAAGAGCATGCTAGGGGTCTGAAACCCACCATCTTAGAGCATCAGAGTGCATTGAGTTGGTGCTGCCAGCGGAGGAGGCAGGTGGCCTCAAAGGGAGCAGGAGCCGCATAAGCTGATGCTTCCTCTGTAGTGGCGGCTCCTGTCCCAGGTAGAATCATTCCAAGTGCATTTTACCTTGGACCTTTCTAGCAGATAGAGAGTGATGCCAGCAGAAGCTGGAAGAGGAAAAGAAGATCATTGTATTAAAAAACACATACGCTGGACTTTTGCAATCTGCATATTAGCACCAATAAAAGGCTTTCACACTGATCCATAGTGCAGTGCAGTGCACCTGCGGCTTTTTTGCGGGTCAGCTGCAGTGAGCCTGAAACCTCTGTTATATCTTGTGGGTTTGGTGCACTTTCTGATGTGTTTTTTTACCACCACCCCCTCCAACCACTGTTGTAACATCAGGGGTTGCAATGGTAACCCAGCCCAATTCTCAAGGGGGTCCATGTGACCTCATGGACGCTGTCAAATTTTGTTTTACACTTGGACAGGAGGGGCAGTGGGGTGGAAAGTTACAGCCACTACTGAAAGCCAGTTTCTTCTCCTCTCCCTCCCACTGGCATTCAGTTGCTGCAGGAGAAAAATGTTTATTATACTATTCAAAATAAAAAAAAATTTAATTCAGAACCATTTCATTTCATCATGGCCAATGACTAGTTAACAAATCACTTAAGTGGCCCTTGCTCTTCAAAAGGTTGAGCACCCCTGGTCTATTGTATGTTGAGTATAGAGAAGGGGTCTGAGTAGTTTATCAAAAAACAACTGGGCAAGGCTAACACCACTTAGCATTTCTGGCAGATCAACAGGTAATTTTCTATATTTGCAGGGTCTTTAAAGGGATAAAACATGGGGGAATGTGTATGTATTGCAGAGAAGTATAGCATATTTGTCTTTTTTTTTTTATTTTGCCTTGACATACACAACCATACCTTTAGTGATGCCCGCGTACTTTCAGGAACCCCATTCTCATATTTTCCAGAAATAATGCCACAGGCAAGGGGTGACCATGTCATTGCACCAACACCTGTAAAACAGAACCACTTTAGACTTCCCTGTTAAATAATCAACTTCGGATTTTAGTGGAGACTGAAGTGTACAATGAATTATGAAAATTGTGCATATTGGCACTACTCTGGTCTGAATATACCTTAATGCAACTATTGAATGTGTACGACACCACACTGAATGTGTACGACACCACACTGAATGTGTACGACACCACACTGAATGTGTATGACATCACACTGGCGATTCTAAAGTACTACCCCACTTTATCCAAAGAGCATTGCTCTCTCACTAGCAAGAATACTGAAGAATCTAGATCTATAGCAAGGAAGAAATCATTGAGTGATATCTTGCTGGTCAAGCCTGCAAGAAAGTGACATCATATGTAAAGTGTGTGGAGATTCTGTCTCTAACAATTGGTTTCTAGTGACAGAATTGCTAATGTAACACAGCACCTTTTTAAGGATAATTCATTTTACTTGCATAGCCTTTGAGAAAGAAAAAATCTAGGGAATACATGTTTAGAAAGTATCTTGTTTTTTCTGGGCAGGAATAATAGCCATGTTTGTTTTTTTTAAGTACTTTCTGTAACCTGGTTTTTCTACATACACAGACTTTGGGCTCATATTTTTGCAATAGTGTTCATTGTCCGTCTATGCCCCCAAGCAATCAATAGTTATTGCTACACATACAGTTGAACATTTTGTGCATTGTACTACTAGCATTAATTGCTACTACATGCTACACGCCATTGTCCCCTATGTGTAGCAATCGCTGGCAATCAGTTGCAGGGCAGTCATGCACTGTTTTTCATATAGTGCAAATGCAAATTAGGAATTCCAAAAAAAGAGAAAAGTACTGGAACCCTTAAATTCCCTAGGAGAGGAAAAAGTTTGCATTGGCAGTCAACTTCCGGCCTTTACTAGCCATGTAAAAATAGCAATCAAATAGCAATCTGGTGACTAAACAGCATAGAAAATCCTTCACACATACTGTACAGCCACTTTATGTGCACTGGAGCTTTTACCCCCACAAAACTATAATAAAGGATTTGCTATGCTGTTTAGTCATCAGATTGCCGACCACATCTTTCTTGAAATGTAAATTGGGCTTCTCCAATAATAGTCCAAGAAAGAAAAATATACTTGTATCTTTTGATGATATATATTATAGCAGTCATATATTTTTGCACTGTGCAAAAGTATTTATTATGCTAATTAAAGCCATGGATTGCGGGACATGTTTAGGTCACACTCACTAAACTGCAATGTCAGAGACAAGCACTAGGTTCCATAGCAAGTTTCTCACAAATAGCTTTTTCTTTGTTTCAGTTATTGAAGACTTAAGTGCAGAAGGTCATCACTGTCTGAAAGATGGAGAAAGTGAGCAAACGTGCTGTTATCTAATGCCAGCACGGTACCTGTGTCTGCAGTCCGTTCCAGTCTCCATCTTTATTCCTAATCTGTTTCTTGCTCTGTGTCCCCTTGCACTTCTACCTGCTCTTAGCAATTCCTGTCTGTCTCTGTGCATACTACCCTTCCCCAGTATCCCTGTGTGTCTCTGTGTACTCTTGACAGCTTGATCTGTACTCCCTTCTGATCCCAGCATCTCAGTGCTGCAAAAGACTCTTATGTGCTTATCAGCCCTTAGTTCCCAGTAGCTTCCTGCTTGGGTGAGTCAGAGGAACGCAGTCTGCGAATGGTTTGTGACGCAAACCATCTCCACTTTCAGGAGCTCCGGAGAAGGCAAGGCAGTTCCTTAGACTGTGTGGCTTGGCTCTTCAAAAAGGCCTTCAACTTTGCTGTATGGTGGTTTCTCCCCCATCAGTACCAGTGGGTATCCTCCCTGTCCTAGACTCCTTGGGCACCCTAAGTGCATCCTGTGTACCTGCATTTTCTGGGACCCCTGTGCACTTTCGTGTTCCTCATACATACGATTACACTTGTGTTCATGTAAGCACAGCAACCCACTGCTGTAAGATACTCCTGACCTCATGTCTCCATGTGAGCCCAGCACCCCTGTGCTGCAAGTGTTTTTTTTTACTAGTACTCCTCTCTGCCTTTGAGTCCAGTATACTGTGCTTTCCCAGGTCCTCATCTCTTGTGTTTCCCTGTACCTGCTTAGGTGTAGTCTGATCCAGCATGTGAACGGTACAGAGGGTCCCCGATCTCCAACAATACGTGACATCAGTAATTCAACCATTATTATTAAAGCCATCCCTACACTGTAATTGCATGATTCTGAGACAATGACACAAAATCCTGCTGTGTGTACAATTTAATCTTTACACAGGGGTTTCAACTACCGTAAAGCAGGGAGCATGTCTTTTGTTGAGATCAGACATTGGTAGGTAGACTTTATTGGAAGAGCTCACCAGATTCTGATCCCTGCTGCATTCTTGCTCCATTGCCTCTGTTATTGCTGTGAAAACTGTAAGCAGCCACTACAACTATAACTGACCAAGCTGAATTTTTGTCATATGCTACTTTGTAATGGTATATTGGTTACCAGGAACAACACTACTATTTTTTCATGTTTTCAAAAAGTCACTATGCATTTCTGAGAGACTTACAGTATGTGTATAAAACTGGTTGGAGCAGTTTTTCACGTCTACTCCATTGGGGTTTTGATACAATTGTAGACTTACCTATTTTGTGATACAATTCAGGCAGTTGGACTTCCACCTTCTCTCTTTGAAAGAGATGATATTCTGCTTGTTCACAAACTGGTGGTATAAGGTTGAATTGTCTGGCTACAGAATATGCTTCCTAGAAGCAAGCAATAAGATCATTACTGTATATACAGCAAGTACTAAATATTTATCTATCTAAATACAGATTTGAAATACATTTACATTCACTATTTTACTGCAGTACATTATCTCTGCCCCATTGAACAGCCAGGAAGATTACTATGATACTTAGACTACGTTCGAATGGGTGATTTGGCTTGGTGTTAACAACAGCAGCAGCAATGTGCTGATTTCTGTTGCTGTTTTTTGCCACCTGTGAGCAGCTAGCTGTGGCCACAAAGCCTTTACACCTTAATGACAGGTTGGCAGTGGCTGCAACTATCCGTGGCTGCAGCTATCCATGGCCAGAGATCATCACAGGTAATTGCAGTCTGTACAAACAGCAATGGATAGCTGAAGCTACCGCCAACCTGTCAATAAAGTACACTATATTGCCAAAAGTGTTGGGACACCTGCCTTTACACGCACATGAACTTTAATGGCATCCCCGTCTTAGTCCGTAGGGTTCAATATTGAGTTGGCCCACCCTTTGCAGCTATAACAGCTTCAACTCTCCTGGGAAGGCTGTCCACAAGGTTTAGGAGTGTGTCTATGGGAATGTTTGACCATTCTTCCAGAAGTGCATTTGTGAGGTCAGACACTGATGTCGGACGAGAAGGCCTGGCTCACAGTCTCCACTCTAATTCATCCCAAAGGTGTTCTATCGGGTTGAGGACAGGCCAGTCAAGTTCCTCCACCCCAAACTCGCTCATCCATGTCTTTATGGACCTTGCTTTGTGCACTGGTCATGTTGGAATAGGAAGGGGCCATCCCAAAACTGTTCCCGAAAAGTTGGGAGCATGAAATTGTCCAAAATGTCTTGGCCTACCACTTCTTGGCTGAGTTGCTGTTGTTCCCAGTTGCTTCCGCTTTGTAATAATACCACTAACAGTTGAAAGTGAAATATTTAGTAGCAAGGGAATTTCACGGATGGACTTATTGCAGAGGTGGCAACCTATCACGATACCACGCTTGAATTTGCTGAGCTCCTGAGAGCGACCCATTCTTTTTTTTTTTTTTTAATTTGAAATTTTTATTTCACTATCTTGCACAGTACATGTTACAGCATCTTGGTGAACATTCCACCTAACATGGTGGGACAAGAACTAACTTTATAACAACAAGATGCAAACATCAGTAACAACCATGTCAAACAAAACGGTGTCTCATTATAGCTCATTCGAAGCAGCGGGTAGTTACACAAAAATATAAGTGTGATCAAAAGTCAAATGCCCGGTATTAGACATTGTTCAGTTGTCCTACTGATGGTTTTCCCCAAGTCCCGACCATGCAGGTTTGGGCCTCTAGAGCGAATTTTCAAAGCGAAAAGAGGATAGACACAGGGGAAAGAGAGAGAGGGAGAAAAAAAAAAAAAAAAGGATGGGGGGAGAGGGGGAGGGAAGGGAGGGTAGGGGGAAAAGGGTTGTAGGAGTTGTATGGACTGAAGTCTATTCTGTAGCCTAGCTAGCTCTTGCTGGGTCTGAACTTATGTAACCTGTAAAAACAGAATCAGAGCATAGTCTTGTGTGCATTGGAAGTCGTGCCAATGAACAGTTCCTCTTTTCGTTTTATGGCCGCTGCCAAGCGCTTCATTTCAGTAATCTCTTTCACTACAGCTATCCATTGGCCAATCATCAGAGGGGCAGTTTGTTTCCATTTCAGTGGAATACATACTCTGGCTGCGTTGAGTAAGAGGATCAGGAGGGACTTCCTGTGCCTACGTCTGGATAAGGGGGTGAGCTTCAGGAGGAAAACTTCAGGACACATGTCTAGAGAAAAATTGGTACGTTTGTGGATCATTCATTTAATATCTTTTCATAAGGACTGTAAAGCAGGGCATGACCAAAAAATGTGCAACAGTGTACTAGCTTCTTGTTGGCAGCACCAACACAACAGCAAGACCAATGGAAAGATCTTATGAAGGATCGACAGGGTCCTATACCATCTGGTCAACAGTTTGTAGCCTGCCTCTTGGAATCACCTGGACAAGGAAGACCGGTGTGCAAAGTAGAGAGCCTGAACTTTCTGAACAGGAGTCAGAGTTTTATCTAGGTCCTTTTCCCATTTCTGGAGAAAAGGGGGAACATAGTCCTCCAGAGGTTTGGAAATCAAAGCATAGGACATTGTGAGCGTGTGACTTAAGGAGGAGGTTTGTGAGCAAAATTGCTCAAACTGAGAAATCCTACCCAGATTCACCTTGCTCAGTTTACATATTTGTATAGCCCTCCACAGGTCCAGAGAGGGGGGAGGGGGTAAGCATCTCTCGGATCTCAGAAATGAAACGCCATCTGCTTCCCATCAAGAAGTTATGGGCGTGGAATTGATTGCTTGATAGAAAGGTCCAAAATCTTGCATCCTCCATGCCTGGGGGGGAATTCCTGAGCCCCTATGATCGGGGACATGAGGGATAAAGACTGCGCAGTGGAGCTTAAGCAGCTCACTTTGGCCAGAGTCGCCATTGTTATCCCTATGGTAGGATGCAGTTTGACTTCTGAAGGAAGAGGCATTGTTTGCCATGGGAGCATCCATAGGAAAGTCAAGAATTTTGCTTTGGTCACTCAAAGAGAAGACCTAGGGAGTGCAACTGAGAGGGTTTGTAGCAGGTAGAGGAGTCTAGGCAAAACTGTCATTTTCAGTATATTGTTGTGACCAAACCAAGTAAATGTTTGTTGGTGCCACTGGTTTGGATTGGTCCTAGTGGACGCTAACCACAGAAGAAAATTCTCCTTGAATATCTCAGACGGGGAAGGGGTAAGGTATATGCCCAAATATTTTATCTTTCCTAGGCCCAGGAGAAAGGGAAATTAGTGCAGAGTCGATTTAGATCTTCCGGAGTCAGGTTAAGTGTCCAATTTGTGTACATTTATTTTGTAGTTTGATAACGCTGCAAAAGTTTGCAGCTCTTGGGGGAGGTTGAGGATAGTTATGTCTGGACCTGTAATAAAGAAGACAAGGTTGTTGGCATAAGCCGCTACCCTGTGCAGTATGTCCCCGGCCTGTAGGCTCCTGATGTTCGGTTTGGCCCTGATTCAACATAAGTGAGGCTCCAGAATCAAAACAAAAATCAGGGGTGACAGGGGGAACCCCTGCCTAGTGCAATTGGTCAGTAAGAATGTGGAGGACAAGGCTTCATTAGCTCTTACTATCACAGTTGGGTGAGAATAGATTGCATCCACCCATTTGCACATATGTTCTCCCAGACTGATGTGTCTCAAAGTGCGTCTAAGAAAGAGCCCACTGACCCAATCTAAGGCCTTCTCCGCATCTGCTGACAGCAGTAAGGTGAGAATGTCTGTAGATTGGGCCAAGTGAATCAGGTTAAGGGCTCTGGTGGTATTGTCCCTTGCTTCCCTAGTTGGAATAAATCCCCCTTGGTCATTATGGATCAGGGTGGGCAAGCGACCCATTCTTTCACAAATGTTTGTAGAAGCAGTCTGCATGCCTAGGTGCTTGATTTTAAACACCTATGGCCATGATAGTGATCTGAAAATCTGAATCCAATGATTTAGAGGGGTGTCCCAACACTTTTGCCAATATAGTGTATTCTGGCAGTAAGTGCAGCTAGTAGTGCATAGGTGGCAAAACAGCAGCAAAAATCAGCAGATTCCTGCTGCTGCCATTTGCACTGGTGATTATGGCAATTGATTGTCCAAAAAATAAACCAGGATATAGAGAGATGAGTAAGGAAGCTGGTTTTGTGAACCCATAAATAAATCTATCTGGCTTGGCTATGCAGTGTTAAAAAAGGGTGTAAATCAGAAGACTGGCTAAACAAATTTACTGGTCTATTGGCAAGTAAAACAGTTTTATATACTGTGTAGGCATTTAAACATTGTAACTTTAATTTAAACATTGTAACTTTAATTAACTTTTTACCTTGAGTTCCTCGTAATATAATCTATGTATTTCCTCAAATAAAATATATAGTATAATCATTTGCCAGACTAGAAAAAATATTTACTTTATATTAAGTAAAATCTAGGCACTTTACCATAATTTCCATCGCACTCCAGCGTGATGTCCCCCAATACATTGCCATCCCTTGATTAATTACATAGGACATTGCCCTGACAATTTCTAGAAAAAAAAAAAACACAAACATGAAATAAATTTTTTTTAACACCACAAATTTTAAGAGATTATTACAATATGACACTGTAGGCCAAGCCATCAGCTAACCTACAGATAGATGGTTATCCCCAGCTTGTCAAAGTTCTCCTGCTGCATAGACCTTGTAAGGAAAGCAAAAGGCAAGTCTGCATGTTGTCAGTTGTAGCGAAATCAGAGTTTAGCAGTCAGAACATTAACAGAATATTATGGGAAACAAGCCAGGCAATGTACTCAAAAACTCAATTGTAAGGTATACAGTATATCCTACAGCTGCAATAGCTATTGCACATTTTCTTACATCTTTTCCTCATGCATGCTACACCAAATAAAATGTATTATTTTTTTCCCAAAAATCAGATTACACATTAAGTTTATTTTATATATCCATAAACAAGCAAGGCATTATTTTAATAAAAAAAAAAAACAATAGTGAAGAGAAAATCTTTGATGCCGGCAGTATTTAAAAATAAAAGCATTTCAAGCTATATTGTAGAGCTAGACTCTCAGTAATCGGCAGAACAATATATTGGCCTCTGCAGTCTGCCTATATTTATTAGTTCCTTTTGAAAAATCTATTGTTTTCTGGGCCCTATTTATTTGCTGACTTGCACCCACAGGGCTGCCTAATGAATGAAATATTAATTTGCAGCACAGAACAACAGTAGTTGACATATAGAACTCAAGGGGGCAGTATTGTAACAAACACAGTTATTCCCTGATTGTATTTTGCCTGATGATAGACAGTATAATGGCGGCATATTTATTTTTATTTCAGCACACATTTGTTTCCATCTAATGTGATTAACCACTTGCCCTCCAGAGGATTTAACCCCTTTCCTGACCAGGCCATTTTTTGCGATACGGTTCTGCGTTATTTTAACTGACAATTGCACGGTCATGCAACACTGTACATAAATTAAATTTACGTCCTTTTTTCCCACATATAGAGCTTTCTGTTTCTGTCGGTGGTATTTGATCATCTCTTCATTTTTTTTTTTTGCACGATAAACAAAAAAAAAATGACAATTTTGAAAAAAGAAAATTTTATTACTTTTTGCTATAAAATGTATCCAGTAAAAAATTTTTAAAAAATCGAATTTTGTCATAAATTTAGGCCAAAATGTATTCTGATACATGTCTTTGCTAAAAAAAAAAAAAAAAATCCCAACACATGTAAATTAATTGGTTTACATGAAAGTTACAGAGTTTACAAATAGCGGTATATATATATAAATTTTTTTTATACTAGTAATGGTGGCAATCAGGGACTTATAGCGGACTGCGGCAGGCATTCTGACACTGCGGGGGGACTGACTAACTGCTACTGACATCCTCAGTGACACTAATACAGTGATCACTGCTAATAAAAAGCACTGACACTGTACTAATGACACTGGGCAGGAAGGGGTTAACATCTGGGGAAATCAAAGAATTAACTGTGTGCTGTTTTACTGTATGTGTTGTGTGTGTGTTTTACTAGGGAAACAACATGCTGCTGTGTATTTCTCTGCAGAGAAATACACAGCAGCATATTACTGCTGGCAGGAGAGAGACTTGTGTTGTTTACACACAGCTCTCTCCCCTGTCACTTTTTTTTTTTTTAACAGCTGCATTTATTGAAATTATACAAAAGTACAAAAAACAGATTCAAGCAAAAACAGATTTGCAGGTGAAATTTCACTAAGCTCTCACCTTGAAGCTGCTGGCGAAAGACAGGGTAAGAAAAATATAACATTTAACTTAGTTACAGGTACCTTTTGAACATAGGGTTTGATTTACTATAGAAAAATATTTCTATAGTAAAATATTTTCTAGAAAAATATTTTTCTATAGTAAATCAAACCCTATGTTCAAAAGGTACCTGTAACTAAGTTAAATGTTATATTTACCATTGTCCTGTCTTCAGCCAGCAGCTCCAAGGTGAGGATGATGTCACGCTTCTTCCGGTTAGATACTGGGGAATACAGAGCACCCCATATATAACAAGATGCTTTAACAATGGACTGGGGTATCTTCCAGTCTATCTGGATTTCCAGTCCATCTGTCTCTTTTTTTAATTTGGTATCAGTGTTAGTGTCAGTGTGTTTTAGAACAAAAAAACAAAATGTACACTATTGTTTCTGGGCTGTATTGTGGGTACAAACAACAAATAACATACACATATATAGTACCAATGCAATCGTCAAGAGCTGGAAAATTTATTTTTGGTTGTTCTTTGGTGGTAGGTTATGGTAAGTAACAAGAAACACACAGCTAAATTAAAAAAAAATATATATTTTTTTACTATTTTTTGGGCCAGTTTTTCTTTGATAATAAAAAAAAAAAAATCAGGAGATATCCATTACCATGTACGGTTTTACTAACACATGCAAAAGTTGCAAGATTGTGCTTAGGCGTTAAGAATTGTTTTACCCTTAGGTGTGAAGGGGTTAAAGTGTCTTTTTTTTCTAAAGAAATTGCATTTAAATAATTGCTGCTCAAATACCGCACGACATAAGAAATTGCAACAACCTCCATTTTATTCTCTGAAGCCTCTGCAAAAAGAAAAAAAAAATGTTTTGGCGTTCTAAGTTATTTTCTAGAAAAAAATAGTTTTACATGTAGGAGAGATGTGTCAGAATAGGCCTGGTCCTTAAGTGGTTAATGTACAGCCACAACTTGTTTATTTTTGTTTTTTATATTGAATAGCATGTGAAGGGTTAGAGCCCCTGTTTGGTTTTTACTGTTGTATGTGTACTTGCTAAGGAGAGTTGCCCTCTCTATTTGACAACTGTCCCTGGGACAGAAAATGAAGGAAAATCCAAAATGTTAACGTTGTCCTCGGAAAAAGAGGTCAGGGTAAATCTGTTCAGGTGTCAAATTTATAAGAGAAGAGTTCACCTAAATTTTGTAGAGGTTTCCTATTTCTTTCTACCGCATCTCTGGGACAGGAATTAAACAGAAATTTCCCTGACAGGACATAGCAAAAAATAATCTGGTGAGTTTTCATCACTAACTTAACTCCCTCCCTTCCACCATCCGTTCCTCCTGTCCTCTTCACTTATTTAGCAACAACTGACGGGTCCCCCACTGCAGTTGGTGCTCATGATGGCTGGTCACTTTTTAGTTCTGTCACCATGCTATGAAGCCTGAGAGAAGCCCACAGCTGGACAGCCAATAGGAAGTGTCCATGTCACCCAGGCATTGATGCAGTGATGGAAGACTCCAGACATGATGCGCTGATGCAGTGATAGAAGACTCCAGACATAATGCATTGATGCAGTGATAGAAGACTCCAGACATAGTGCATTGATGCAGTGATAGAAGACACCAGGCATAGTGCATTGATACAGTGATAGAAGACTCCAGACATAGTGGGTTGATGCAGTGATAGAAGACTCCAGACATAGTGGGTTGATGCACTGATAGAAGACACCAGGCATAGTGCATTGATGCAGTGATAGAAGACTCCAGACATGGTGCGTTGATGCAGTGATAGAAGACTCCAGACATAGTGCGTTGATGCAGTGATAGAAGACTTCAGACATAGTGGGTTGATGCAGTGATAGAAGACTCCAGACATGGTGCGTTGATGCAGTGATATTAGACTCCGGGCATGGTGCGTTGATGCAGTGATAGAAGACTCCAGACATAGTGCATTGATGCAGTGATAGAAGACACCAGGCATAGTGCATTGATGCAGTGATAGAAGACACCAGACATGGTGCGTTGATGCAGTGATAGAAGACTCCAGACATGGTGCGTTGATGCAGTGATAGAAGACTCCAGACATAGTGCATTGATGCAGTGATAGAAGACTCCAGACATGGTGCGTTGATGCAGTGATAGAAGACTGCAGACACAGTGCGTTGATGCAGTGATAGAAGACTCCAGACATGGTGCATTGATGCAGTGATAGAAGACTGCAGACACAGTGCGTTGATGCAGTGATAGAAGACTCCAGACATGGTGCGTTGATGCAGTGATAGAAGACTCCAGACACAGTGGGTTGATGCAATGATAGAAGACTCCAGACATGGTGCGTTGATGCAGTGATAGAAGACTCCAGACATAGTGCGTTGATGCAGTGATAGAAGACTCCAGACATGGTGCGTTGATGCAGTGATAGAAGACTCCAGACATAGTGGGCTGATGTAATGATAGAAGACTCCAGACATGGTGCGTTGATGCAGTGATATTAGACTCCGGGCATGGTGCGTTGATGCAGTGATAGAAGACTCCAGACATAGTGCATTGATGCAGTGATAGAAGACACCAGGCATAGTGCATGGATGCAGTGATAGAAGACACCAGGCATAGTGCATTGATGCAGTGATAGAAGACACCAGACATGGTGCGTTGATGCAGTGATAGAAGACTCCAAACATGGTGCATTGATGCAGTGAGAGAAGACTCCAGACATAGTGCATTGATGTAGTGATAGAAGACACCAGGCATAGTGCATTGATGCAGTGATAGAAGACACCAGGCATAGTGCATTGATGCAGTGATAGAAGACTCCAGACATGGTGCATTGATGCAGTGATAGTAGACTCCAGACATAGTGGGTTGATGTAATGATAGAAGACTCCAGACATGGTGCGTTGATGCAGTGATAGAAGACTCCAGACATAGTGCATTGATGCAGTGATAGAAGACTCCAGACATGGTGCGTTGATGCAGTGATAGAAGACTCCAGAAATAGTGGGCTGATGTAATGATAGAAGACTCCAGACATGGTGCGTTGATGCAGTGATAGAAGACTCCAGACATGGTGCATTGATGCAGTGATAGAAGACTCCAGACATGGTGCGTTGATGCAGTGATAGAAGACTCCAGACATAGTGCGTTGATGCAGTGATAGAAGACTCCAAACATAGTGCGTTGATGCAGTGATAGAAGACTCCAGACATAGTGCGTTGATGCAGTGATAGAAGACTCCAGACATAGTGCGTTGATGCAGTGATAGAAGACTCCAGACATAGTGCG